ATTAGGTCGAACATTTCTATATTTTTCTTTTTCATCATAATCTGGTTATTAAATCTGTCTTTACGAATTTTAATGTGTTTGTTTTGTGTACTCCAGTAGTCTATCAACTGCTTAAAAATCTATTTCTTTTTATTTTGGTTCTTAAAATGAATAATTAGAGTTTCTATACATTCAATTTATTTTTTATTGATTTAACTTATTTTTTAATAATATTTTTTTAATCTTTAAAACCTGCTAATTTCTGCCAAAAATAATTTAAAGATAAGTATATTTTTTTTGTTTAAAATTGATAAAAAATATAGCTATAAATAATGGTGTTTTTAAAGGTTATGAAGATAATTTTTATCAATAAATTAGATACTTCAGAATTTGATATGGCGATATATAAAGAGGTATAAATAAATAAGGATAGATAGGTTATTTATCATTTACTTACTATTAACATAATTTTAAAGTAATTAAAATCTTGTAGTTTTATGCTTTGAATATTAGCATAATAAGATTCTTATTACATTTCCATAATAAATATATTAAAAATTTATCACCATTATGAAGTTCTACTTCTATCTTAGGGTATTTAAACAATTAAAAAATAAAATATAACAAAATAATAAAAAAATACAATTTAATATTTAAAATTACAAAGATGGAAGCTCAAATCCTTAAGACTTCAATTTAAATTAATTTTGGGAGAATTTTGTAGTAAAAATTGTAGGTTTCTTTATTATGATATAGAATTTAAACCACAATATATTATTAATAAAAAATTATAAAGTTTCTTATTTTTATTTGAGTATTTTCAATTATTCTAATAAATTTGAAAAATATTATAATAATTATAATATTGTATATACAATCAGTGTATTGATAAATCGATGCTGATTATTGCAGCAGTCTCTTCTATTTGCATTAGAATATAGTTTAAGGAGATCTTTTAATTACTTAATAATGTCATATATATTTAATTGCGAATCAAATTAGTATCAATGGTCTAAAGGTCTTTTTAATAGTTTCAAATTTTTATTTTAGACTGTCAAACTCAACAGTTGGTTCAATTGAGTCAATCTATTGAGGTTTCTTACTTTGATATTCAACTTTTAGAATTAGATTATGTTTTACTTTTTTTAAAGTAGGGATGGTATACTACAATACCATCATTAGTTGTTTGGACACTCTGTATTTACTATTCACTCTATCTCCTCATTTGTTCTGGATTTTGATTGAGATTTGTTAATAAGTTTTGAATTAAAGTCATTATCTAGTATTATAGAAATTGATTACTCCTTCTTCAGTTTATTCCTTTTTAGGTTTTTTAACAGTTGGTTTTTTTGGCTTTAATACACAGAATTAAATTTCTAAATCAAATAATTATCCATTATCATGTGGATAGATGCAATCAAGCCAATCAGTCATAAATCCATATTCATACACTAAATAATATTGAACTAAGCTACCTTTCTTTTATTCTTATACTTTCTTTTGTTAGTACTTGTCCTATTTTTAATCTGATTTCTTAGCTGATGGTTTTTGTTCCTTGATCTCTTAAAGCATTTCTTTAAAGTTCTCAGTCATTTTCTTTTATCTGGAAGATTTACGAACTAAAGAATAACAGAACATGTTACCTTAGGCTGCTTCTTCTTGCTTCATACTCATTTACTTCAATTTTTTTATTTATCAACTCAATCAAAAACTAACTTAAAAAGCCGCTTTCTTCTTAGATAATATAACATATTATAATATATGATCATTCTGGTTGTTAATTCTATTGATTTTATTCCATTAATTATTATTGTTCCTATTAGATTTACTCTCTCCTTCTTTATTCCAAATATTTTCTATTAGTCTCCTAAAGTTCTTTATTTAATCTTTCTATATCGTATTTATATTCATTGATCTATAATTAAATAAAAATATATAATACCTAAGCCTAATACATATTTAATTCTGCAGCTAAACTTTTCATTTGTCTAGTCTTGGCTTTCATTTACTCTTATAATTTAGAGATTTAAGTTGCCTCTTCCAATCCTGGTTGCTTCCTCATAATATCTCTCAATTCAAGTATTTATTTTTCTTTCTATTGAATAAGTACTTCTTTCTCTACTACTTATTCAGTCTTATAGATGAGTCTTCTTTACAATGTTTTTATTTTTTATTTCATTTCATAAACATCTGGATCACTCTAAAATTAATAAAAATAATTACTCCTCCTAATTTCTTGCATCTTTAAGGATTTAATGGATTTTCTAATTCTTCACTTAATGCTTTAACTCTCAATTTTTCCTCAACTAAATCTTTTTACAAATTATTTATCTTCTCCTTTAAAATGGGAGCTTAACCTGCCTTCTTTCTTTTTATTTTCAATTCTCTTTATAAATCAGAAATCTTGAATTTTAATAATTCAATATCACTAAGTCTTTCTCTATATTATTATTCACCAAAAGCCAATGTTTCTTATTGTACTTTAATTTTTTCATATAATAATGCTGATTCATCATTCCTTCTAATTAATTAAGTACCAAGAATATCTCTTTCGGATACTACTGTTTCATATTCCTCTTTGAGTTTCTGTCTCTTTATTTCACTATCTTTTAAAACAAAATGTAATTTGGATATTTCACCAACATAATTTTTGATTGTTTCTTCTTTCTCCTCAATTTCTTTTCTGTTCTTTTCTAGAATTCTACAACATTCCTCTATAGTTTTGTCCTTCTTTTTATGTTCAAAATGTTCCTTAGCTAATGCTACTTCTTTTGCATCAATTTCTTCTTTTAATTATGCAATTTGATGTTAAACTATTTTATGTCTTCTTTTTATAACAGCAATTTCATCTTATGTTTCTAATAAGTTTTTAGAATATAAATTTCTATCTGATCTTACTTCCTCATATAAATGTTATTATTATTTTAATTTATTATCTGTTTCTATATTTTTCTTTTAAAATTCACTTATTAAATTATCTTTCAATTTAATTTCTTCTTATGAATGTAAAAATTTTGCATTTATTAAAGCAGCATCCTTTCCAAATTTTTCCTTTTTCTTTGTATTTATTACAAATTACTTTTCTCTTTCATCTACTTCTTCTTATAGTGATAATATTTCTTTTTCATATGATTCTATCTCCTTATCAATTAAATTAATTTTCTCATTTAATTTACTATTATATTCTTCTGATTTTGCTTTATGATTAGCAAAACTAATATGTGCTTTTCTCAATTCTTCAAGTAACTATTAATCTTATTCATTAAACTTCTTTGTATCTGTAACATGTCTATCTAATTATTATATTGAATTAATTGCAACCTCTTTATCCTTTATAATTTTATCTCTTTATTTTTATAAATCAAGTAATTTCTTATTTAAATTATTGTTTTTCTTTTCTACTTAATTTAAATGAGTTCTAGCATTGTTTTTCTCATTCTTTAATTTAATTATTTCAGCCTCATTACTTTCTCTAATATCTTCATTTTCTTCTTTTTTATTCATAATTTCTTTGTGTATTTTTTTAACTTCAGCCACTTAATCTCTTAATTTTCTGAGTTCATTTTCTTCAATTTCTTTATCTTCATCTTTTTTCTATAATGTTTCTGTTTATTTCTTTAATTCAATTTAGACTTTTGATAAATCTTCTTTCTATTTTTCATATTCTTTTTTTGTTTTTATATAGTTCTACCTTAATTATTCTAATTCTTCATTAATGTTATTTCTTCTTTATTCATCCTTATCTACTTTCTCTTACATTTCTTATAAATTTTTTTTGAGTTATTGAGAACTTTAATCAAGTATTAATTTTTCATTTTCTAACAGTTTCAATTTTTCAATTAGATTACCTGTTTCTGATCTATTTTTTATTAACTCTGCTTACAAACTGTCCCTTTCTACATTATATTATATATTTATACCTTTCATTAAATCCTCTTTCTAAGTTTAGAGTTCTGTGATTTTGTTTGTTTAACTCTATAGAGCATTACCTTACTCAACCAAATCTTATAAATGCTTAATTTCTGCTTAAAAGTTTTCAATTTTCTATTTCAATTTATCTTCCCTCATTTATGCTTATTCTATAACTTTGTAAGTATTATCAAGTTCAGTTTTTAGTAACTTAATTCTTTCACTATCTTCTTGTGAAAATTTGAGTGCATTTGTTACTTTGCCAGCATTATTTAAAATATCACTATTTATATCTCTTAATTTTCTCAGTAATCTTCTCTCTTAATCATAAGCGTTTCGAAATGCTTGATGTAATTTTGTATATTCTTATCTAAATCTTTCTAAAGCAGGCTCATTAGCTAATTCGTTGATAATCTATTAATATTTTCAAAGATATTTTACTTCCTAAAATTCTCTTTCTAAAGCATCTCTATCTTATTCAGAGAAACCCAAATCTTCCATTTATTTTAAAATAAAATAATTATTTAATATAACAATACCTGAAAACTATAAACAACAAAAAATTAAATACTTTGAATCAAACAAATAAACTCAAATTCATCTGAGATTCCTTAGAAGATGAAAATCTTTGATATAGAATTTATGGATAGCAAACTGATAATTTTCAAGAAAATTTTATAATTTATCCTACAACATCTATATAATTAATGAAATATACTCAAGTATTCTTTAATTGGAAATTATAACAAGATAATAATATATAATAGTTAATGGATATGTGCTTATCTAATTAAATGTACTCAATCTTAAATCGTTTTGATTTTGAAGATTTTATGTAACAATTAAAGGAATTTAGCTTTTTATAAGGATGGATTTATAAGGAAAATTCAATCCATATACTAAAACCAAAATTAAAGAACTACTAATTTCTAAAATACCGAATAAAAAAAATATTTAAAAAAGCATGACTCTAAGCCTCTTTAAAATAAAAACTTACATATATGATTTAAGAAAGTAAATTATTTCCTTGATTAATTAACTTCATAAAACTAGAATAAAGAAAAAAGTTAATATAGAGTTAAGAAAAAGAGTTCAAGTGTAATTAAATCATAAATGTTAACTACAAAAATAGCTTAACCTGAGAAATAAGATTCTACATATCCAAACATTATTTACTTAGTTGAATAGCATTATGGTGTAAAAACAATAAGTATTCGGGAATCCAAAGTATCATGTGAAATTAATTACTTTAGCTTATGCAGATTTATTGGTAGATTTCGATGATGAATTTATTATAGAATAATATTTCAGAATAATTGAGAGATGGCTTAAAAGAGATAAAGAAATATACTCTTGGGCACTTGATTATCTAAAACATAAAACTCAAGAATTATTATTAAATGCCGAAACATAAGAGAAAAGTATGGTTAATAAATGTTTGGTAAATTAATTTTTTGAAGAAAACAAATAAAGTGAATAAGTTATTAAAATTATTTATATTTACACAACTATTAATTAATTAGGATCAAATTTTAGGACATTTTAGATTAATTTGAATCAAAAAAAAATTATTCAAATATAAATATTGTTAAAGATAATAAACTCCTATTTATTATCAATATATAAATTCTTACCATTAATAATTCTATTATGAAAGAAGAAAATATTATATTATATCATTAACAGATATTTTAAAAAATAAATAAAATTTAAATATTAGATTAATGGTATAGATATTATTATTATAATCAATTCTCTAGAATATATAATAAAATTACCTTCTTCATCCTATTCATATTGTTCTCCTTCTTATTCACCTTCTCCTTCTTCCTCTTCTAATTAATTTGGATCAATTCCAAATAGATGAAGATTTTACTAATAAAATTAATCTAAAAAATACACTAAACAATTCTCTGAATTGATTGTTTTCTGTTTGTAATTTTTCATTCTCTTCCATCATTGCTTACTTTTCATCTTACATTTATTAATATAATTATTTAAAATTTTCTATAAGTTCCTCTAATTTCTTAATTTCTTCATCCTTTTATTCAAGTTATTGAATTAATTCATCATTATCTTCCCTTTTTTCTCCTCCTTCTAAACCTCCCCCTTATTCAAGTTAATTTTTCAATTCTTCTATAATTTAATCTTTTTCATCTATTTCATTAGCCATTTCTTCCATTTTAGCCTAAATTTCCTCTAGATTATAATTTTAAAATTCTTCAGCAATTTCATCAATTTATTGTTATTTTTCATTGATTACTTATTCCATATCTTTGATCTATTTTTCATATTATTTTTTTTAAAGATCCAACTTTTTTTAAGTTTATTAATCTACACTTTTTACTTATTCAGTTAATTTTTTAACCTTACTTTAAATTAAAAATTACTTCATCAGTTAAATTGGTTATTTTTTTTTTTTCATCTGTGCTTTCTTTCTTTAAATCATTTATTTTCTTTTCAAAATCTCTTTAATTTTATTATCTAAAATATTCTCAAAATATACATTTTTTTATCGATTTCACTATTAATGTTTTTAATTTAGTCTTTTGTTTATTATATCTCTCTCCTAAGTTCATTATTTTAATCTTATTCTTCTTAAATCTATTCTTTAAGTTTAATGTTTTAATTGCTCATATAAGATGCAGAATTATTTTGCCTTTAGATCTCTTCTTATTTAGGTTCTACTTTTTGTTTATTTTAAGATTAAGGGTAAATATAATTGTTAGTAAACTTATTAGGTAGAGATTACTATTAAACCAATTAAACAGGTTCTTTAACAAGTTTTTAATTATTCAAAATATCCTCTTTTTAAGGTACTTCAGGCTTTACTGATTTAAAGTTGTTCGAGAATTGTTTAGATGAAGCTGAGGATTGAGGTTTTGCAATACCTTGTGGTTATTGTTTTTGTTATTACTATTCAGGTTTAGACTACAAAAATTCAAAAATAAATAGTTACTTTTAAGGAAGAATCTTTCAAAGCTGAGGCGGATCCTGCTTTTTGATACATTTCTTATAATGATAAAGATAGATTTACCTTAATATGGGATAATCTCAGTTTTATGCTGTTCTTCTGATGGATTGTTTTTGTTGTGTACCTAAGAATCACAACTATAACACAATCTATAAGTTTAGCCCAATTAACATTAATTACACTTTATAGTGGCTGGCCTTTGTTGACAAACCATGCACTTAACAAAGAGAGAACTCATAATTCAAAATAAATTTATTTGAATAAAAATTAAGATAAAAATTATATCTTCAATAATGTCAATCGTTAAATTGGTATTAACAATACTTAAATAAATTCTTATCCTTTAATAATATATTGATCATTAGAATAATTCAAATAATGCTTCCATATCGTCATCATCATCAGAAAAGTCGCTATCCTCATTGTCATCATCATTCTTATCTTTCTTTGGAATTAAAGTCTCTACAAAAGGACAAGCCTTCTTGGATTATTTGAAAATCTTTTATAAATTGATTAATCCCTTAGTCACCATCAATGGTCTTTCTTTTTATTCTATAATTTATAATGAAACCTTTGCAACATCATCAATAACTGAGATGCATTAATCAGGTAAAACAAATCCTAAAGCTGATTTTACTTCATCTCCCCAACAATTTGTTATTACAGGTTCCACCAAATGTGACATTTCAACTAAACTATCCACAAGAATATCTGAGAATCCATCTTCTTCAAATTCATTGTATGATTTATAAGCATTAGTAGCTAATTCAAAACCTCCTTTCAAACAAACTCCTATTTTTTTTGTAAATGTTGATAAATCAACTCCATCTGAACCAGAACAAGATTTTTTTACAGCTATTAATGATTTTAAAATTCCAACTAATTCTTTAACACTTGAAACAATTTTTCTTTCATTAACATTTCCATATAATTTAGAAAATCTGGGTGTGAGCTTTGTGACTTCTGCTGTACATTTAGAGTTAATTGAAATAGCACTTGTTGCTAATATCAATAAGACAACAATAAAAAGCTTCATTAAAATTAATATATAATGACGTCAAACTATTAATAATCATTAAATAATGAATATTTCTATTTAATAGAATGATATCCTTAATCATAGATGATACAGAAATCAGAAGCATATACTTTTTGTATTAAGTAAGCTTTTATAATAATATATTATTTAAGATACTCTTAACAATAATTTAGATTATATTTTAAAGAAAAATTACAATCATTTTGATATTATATTTAGTTAACTTAATATCGCTTTTATTTATATGATTACATTTTTCTCCTGAAATAATTAGAAGTTTAGTTAATTACAAAATAATTATTTGATATATGATAATAATTTTGTGAGAAAAATATAATGAAAATAAATTGTATTGACTCAATATTGAATTCTTCTGAAGCTACTATATACAACTTTTGATTTTTTATCAAAAGTAACTTTTTTTATGGATTTTTAAGTGTTTGAAGTTTAAGATTCTTTGAGCTAATGTTGGGGACTTTATGGGTATGAAGTATTTATGGTATTTGTACTTTTGTGTTTTAATATTGATTTGTATTTTACAATATCTTAATTTGAGTCCTTCATCTAACTATTCCTATCCTCTTTTAAAATACTATTCTATTCTTGTTATTCATGTTATTCATTTAATATTAAGGCTTCATCTACTGACAATTTTTATTCCATGAGTCTGAAATCTCCACTTTAAATATATGCATTTGTCTACTCTTATGAGTGAATCTTTTAAGGAGAATATTAAAATTCTTTATCTTATTGATAATTTATATCATCATCAGAAAACTTCAATAATTGAATGGGTTAGGGTTTTTCAATAGATGGAGGACCATAAATATATGTTCTTCCAAAGATAATTTCTTCTAAATCAAATTCTTTATACGGTGATGTAATTCTTTAATTGCAGGTACAACCCATTTTTTATTGTTGTATAATAATAACAGGAAATTAATTAAGAAAATAGTCTAATCAATTTTTTATATCAGAAATTGAAATGAAAAAAAACTTAGATTCATTAACTTGGCAACTTTTGTAATAAATCACTTTTAAAAATCAATTAGGATTAAATAAATAAAATGATATCACTATATTCAATTAGATTTACATAATGTTAAGTCTAATCATTCAATAGATTAATATTTTATTAATTTTAATTATTTTAATTATCCCTTTATCAATAAGAATCAGAGTAGAAAATTTAAAGAACTCACCCTAACATATATTTTCAGTAATTAGAGAAATTCATAATATTGTTTAAATTCAAAAGTCATTTCAGTGAAATATAATAATTATTAAATAATTATATCTAAAAGATCAGAATTTAAGTTTTATCACTTAATATTTAAATAATTTTAAGGACAAATAATAAAAATATTGGGGTATTATTTAATATTACTTTATTAAATTTATTTATGTTTCCTGAGTCTTGTAAAAATAGATCAATAGGATCAATCAATTAATCTTGTCATGAATCTCATCGTCCTAGACATCATCTAGTCAATTCATTTGGATTTTTGTCCAAACATGAATCAAGAAATTCTTATTATGATAAAGAAGATTAATAAGATCAATTATTAAAAATCAAACAAGAGCTCAATTAATTAAGAATAGAAAATATTTAATTGAAATCTTAAAATATTTATTATCAAGTAAGGGATTATTAATATCAAGAAAGATATTGAAAGCTTTCACCAACAGTTATCAGATGATGATATATAAGTGAAAACTGTTCGAAACAATTAAAAATTTAAACATTTACTTAAATTATTATAGTCTAAAGAAGTTGAAATAGAGACTTTAAAAAAAAAATTGAAAATGGATGAAATCATGAATTATTAAAAAAAAATAGCTGAACTTTAAAATACGATTGAATTACAAAAAGAAAAATTATTAGGGAATCAAAGAAATATATTAGCCCCATAATTTACTATCCTTGATGAATTAGAATAAGATAATATTAAACTAGTTTAAATTGTAACAGGTTTAGAAGAGAAAGTAAAAGATTATGATTAAATGAAAAAACATATAGTAACATAATAAGTCAAAATTTAATAATAAAAATAACTCATTAATGAATTGTAAAAAGAGATTAGATAATACAAAGAAAGAGATTTATTATTTGCAGCTAAACATAATTAAAAGAGTAAATAAGATCAATAAATTAAGTATTAATTTTATTATATTTAGAAAACTATTCTCAGATATTCATAAATTAAGTTAAAAGAGATAAGAAGATGAAATCTATATAGAATAATTAATAGAAAGACATTAATAAGAAATTAAAAAATATGATAGAAGAATTATGGAGAAGGATGATGAAATGTAATTATTATAAGAAAGATGTGAATCTTTAAGTAAGGCTTTATAAGAAGAGCAAATTTAAAAAGCTAAACTTAAAAAGAATGAGAAATCCAATTCTATTGTCAAGCCTTCTATGTTTTCATAACATCAAATTGTTGGTAGAAATTCAGGTGATTTTTCACTTATTACATCATAAAGATCTTTAAGTGGTATTGGTAAATCTAAATATTCTAAAATTAATAAATAAGATCTTGGTTAAATTGTAAAAATTGTCAAATTTTCTATGATTATTAATAAAATTCCTTTTGATGAATTAGATACTGTAATATACTTTTTAATTATGATAGTACTTGTTTAAAAATTAATAAGAAACTACTTTAGATGAACTTAAAGATAGTTTATAATAATAAATTTTCAATTTAACTAAGGAATAAGCATGTACTTTGGCAAATTATTTATTTGATTAAGAAGATGAAATGAATATAGACAAACCATAAAATAATTCAAGGATAAGAAGCATTTTAAAGACATTATTAGATAATTTTCGATTGCCTAATAAATAGGTTTTTAATGAAATTTAGACAAATTTGAATGCAAACAATCTTGAAATGATTTGTAATCAACTTTAATCAAAATTTCAAAGCCCTAGAAATAAACTTAATGTGAATGTAAATTAAAAGTGTTATAATAATAGGATTTATTTGATCTATTTTAAGAAAATGATATAAAATTTTCAAAAGCATCTCTTGATTATATTGAATCCTAATTTTATAAATTGAATCGAAATTTAGGTGTTTTTGAAATAGATTAATTGAAACAGTTGATTGATAGTATTAATAATTGATTGTCTTTTAATACTTAATATTTATCAAAACTTATGGCATATTAATATATATAATTTAATAAATTAAAAATTTTTAATTACTTTATAATTCAATAATTCCTTTTTAAATTTGTCTAATTTATTTATTTATAAAATTCGAACAAATTTTACAATAAATAAAACATGTATTAACCAAAAAAGTCACAACATAATTAAGTATCAAAAGATTGGTAAACTATTTGGAAATTAAGAGAAACAGACTTTATATCTCATTTTTTAGTATCTAAATCTGGAAATCTTGTGGCTTTTGTAATTGAAGGAAAAAAACTATATGTGATTAGCCTTTTAACAAAAAAGATCATTTTTGAATTGACTTTTGTGAAATTTTAATTATATGATTTACAATTTACTTCCGATGAAAAAAAGATATGTATAGCATAGGAAGAAAGCAAAAGTTTGAGAATTATTGAATTAAGCACAAGATCTGAAATCTGTTACAAATTACCTTAAAGTTTTCTTCCTCTTGATAGTTATATACTAGTTGAATAAGAAAAAAAGATATATTTATATTAAAATGATGCATTAAAATTAATAGATTTGAATTAAGAGAATCTAGAATTAATATTATAGTTTGATGGTGAATATAGAGTTCTTCAAAAAACTAGCATGGATTTCATTATTAATATAGCATTCTAAAATCAATTATAAGTTATGTATTTGAAAAATAATTTTTGCAAATAGAAACATAAATATATAGAAAGTAATAAAATAATTCATTTTACTGAATCAAATCAATTATTGTCAATAATTACTTATGAAAATAACTATTAATTATTCTTGAAGAATTTATAATGTAAAAAATTAATAAGAAAATTTTCTGATAAAGTCTTATAAAATATATGTGATATCAAATATTCTTAAAATAGAAAATACTTATTTTTGAATACTGGAAATAGTTTGATAAGATGGAATATAACAACCTCAAAAATATCTAAATTATAAGTTTAAAATAATGTTTTTGAAAAAATGTGGATTGAAGGTAAAAATGAAATATATATTTTGAATTCAAATAATCACATTCAAAAAGCTTCATGCGATTTTTGAATTTTTAAATTAATTTTCCGTAAAATATTGAATTTTCCATAAATATTAAATGAATTTTTTTCTATTTTGATTAATTTATCGATCTAATCTAATATTATTAGAAGATAATATAAATAGAGCCATTTTATTATCTTGATAGCATAAAAAAACATCAGTATGTTTAGTTTAATTTTATATTATTTTAATTCCCATAAATATAAATTATATCATTATGCAATAATTTCCAAGCAAAATTGAATTTTAAGAAGACTTTGATTTCAAGAATTCCTCAATGTTAGGACAAGGAACATTTGGAAAAGTATATAAAGCAAAAGCTCTAAAATCACTTCCTCATGGATATTATGCCCTAAAAATTATAGAAACACCTAAGTATAAAAATAAATTAACTTAAAGCGAATAGGCATATGAGCTTGCTATTCAGGAATTGAACTTATATCAAGTGATTACCTATCATTAAAATGTTATAAAAGTTCATAAAGTTTACTCTTGGATAGAAGATATGCCAGCGAAAAAATATATTTTAGTTTTTGCAATGGAATTAGCTCAAAATAGCTTAAAAGCAGATATTGATGAAAGAAGAAAGGCTTAATTAGAATTTGGGGGTATAAATAAATATGTACATATACTCTAGATTTTATGTTAATAGATATTATGAATTAATGTTTGAAAGCATTTCATTATCTAGCAAAAAACAAACATTTGTTTCACAGAGATATTAAACCAGAAAATATATTAGTTACTTGTAGATAACCATATACAGTTAAATTAGCTGATTTTGGGGCAGGAAAAGAGAATTTTAATGGATAAGCAATGCTTAATACATTAGTAGGAACACCTTTGTTTCTTTCACCTAAACTATATATTGCTTATACAACTAATTAACCAGGAAAAGTTAAGTAAATTTTGAATATAAATTAGACATGATTTAGAGAAAAGTGATATATTTTCATTAGGAATTACATTTCTTTAAATGATTTTACTTCTTAGTGATAAAGATCTTTCAAAATTAAATGATCCCATAATATATGAAGAAAAAACTGGAAATGCTATTGATACTAGTGATGATCCAATAAAAAAGAAAGATTGTTAAGGTTGGAAGAAATTATAAATTCAAATTAACAAAATTTAAAATCCTTAAATAAAAGCTTGTATTTAAGGAATGACAGAATTTAGTGAAAGAAATAGATTTACATGGCTTTAAGCTTTAAAAGCATTAAATCCAGATTATGAAGATGAGTAAATTAATTAATTATTCTAGTGAAAAAGATTAATCTGTTCATCCAGCTTAAATTAATGATGAATAATCAAAAGCTATTAAATTGTATTCTAATTAAAATACAATTTTGAAATATTTAGGAACTATTAATGATTTATCAAATCATAAAAAGATTATTTCTGCAGGTAGTCAAATATTGGCTTATTCTAATGAAGGAATAAGATTAATATCCTTAAACGGTGTATCAGAATGCATATTTACTTAAAGTATTAAATAATCCTAATGCAGACGTCTCTTTTTTATCATATTTACAGAAACTTAATATATGTGTTGGGATAACATAATCTGGAGAGATTTTTGGTGTAAATTTGAAGAGTAAAACTTTTTATTGTGAAAAAATTATAAATTTTCAATATGATAAGATCACAGTAAATTAAAAAATGGATTATATTAGGTGATGAAATACATGAGAAATGATTTATGTATCTTGGGATCAGAAATAGGAGAAATTATGATTTTAGCATTTGATACTTAACCACCTTCTATAATTAAAAAGTATAAAGATATAGATAGATCTGTTGTGGATTTGATTTATGATGATGAAACCAAATAGATTATTTCATCTCATGAGAATCTAATAATATATGGAAAATATTTAGCATATGAATAATCGTAATATTCTTTAACTAATTTTAGTGCTAAATTTCAATATGATTCTTAGATTCATAATTTACAATTAATATCATCTGAATACTTTGCAGGTATATGTAAGAATCTCCCTTAAATCCCAATTTTTCATATTAAAGATGGTATTTTTATTTATAATTTTAGGAAATATTACAATTGTGTAAAAATGTTAAATTAATGGAAATAATGTACCTTTAGCATTAACTTTATCTGATAATTATCTTGTTTGGGTTTGTGAAAAATATATTGGATCAATTTAAATTAGCACATAATTGAATTAATTGAAAGAAAATAAAGGAAATGAACTAATGGTTAATGCTTCTAAACCAGCAAAACTTATATGCTTTTTACAAATTGATAAAATGATAATTGCAAGTGATGGATTATAACTACATAAATATATAATTGGAAAAAAATCATCAGATAAAACAGTCTGTCAAAATTGTGAAATTTTTTGAATATTTTTCATCTTTTAAATTTTATTTATTAGATAACATACTATTAATATATATTTTATCAAATAAATTAATTTTATATAATTAAATTAAATTTAATGTATAGAAGTTTAGGATTACTTATTAGATCTACATCAATTGTATAGAAGTGTTTAAAATTAGTATAATTAAATGTGGATAAGAGGACCAAAAAAAGCAAAAGTAGAAGCAGTTGCTACTTCTGATGATTTAATAAATATTTGGAAAGATAGAAAAGACCCAGAAATCAAAGAGATTGATGAGTATCCTTTATGGTTATTAGAATTGGCAATACCATTAGACAGCATAGATGTAGCATCTATTTAAATTGCAGCAAATGATAAAGCTTATGTTAGCTATATTTTTTATTTAGCACCCTCCAGCAAGTCATGTAAGGAGTATTGTTAGAAGTATAAAAAGATAGAGAATTATTTTAATGAATAAATATACAGCATTAAATAGAGATGGAGATGTAATTGGTGATGATGATCTCAATGATTAAGAAGATTAATTAGAGCATATTTAATAAGAGAAATTAGCAGAAGAAGCTGCAGCTGAAGAAGCAGCAAGACTTAAAGAATTAGAAGAAGATGATGAAGATACACCTAAAGGTATTATATATATATTATATATTATAAAGCAAGAAAGCCAGCTATTAGAAAAGAAGAAGATGATGATGATAAACCAGCAGCTGGAAAGGCTGGTGATAAAGATAAAGCAGCAAGTGGTGCAAAAGGAGGTGCTGCAACAACAGGAGCAGCAGGTAAAGCTGGAGATACTGCTAAAGGAGGTAAAAAAAAATGAGGTGTAAATCTATATACGAATTATTTATGATTATAAATCCATTTTATTATTATATTTTTTAGTAGTTGTTTTATTTTTATTAATATCAGGATTAGAATAAATTTAATGATTTTTATTCATATTATACTAATTAGAATCTTTTATGATTTTAGAAATTGATAATTGTAATTAATTTTCTATTTAATAAAACTTATAATCAAATAGCTAACCTTAATAAGAATAAAATATATAGAATCATTTTAATCATAATTTATTTTAATCAAAATTAAAGTGAAAAAATGCATAGCAAAATATTGAAAAAAAATCCCAAAACTTAAATCATTAACTCAATAGATTTCAGTATTTTTAAAATTTTGATGTACATGTTTTATCCTTTTTCTTGAGTCCTTTTTAACAGGCATTTCACAGTTTTTACATTCATCACATTTACATAATTCAGAACATTTAACTCCCATTTAATAACATTCACAATATTTTTTTAAGCAATTTGATTTTTTACAATTACATCCTTTAAAATGTCTTGGTTTATGATCTTATTCATCTTCTGAATTACTCTAATTAATAAAATAAATATATACTTTAGATTCAACTTTAGGGCGAAATGCAGAAGGATTCCTTTCCATGATTTATTTGATTACAGTTTCTCTTTCTTTTGTATGATCATCATTATTATGACAAGAACAACAATTACAATCTTTACCACATGTTACACCTGCAGCAAAGCAATCACAATATAATTTAAGACATTTAGATTTCTTACAATTACATACAATTATTTTTGGTTTTTATTCTGTTTGTGGTTTTCTTCTTTTAGAACTTGTACGTTTTCTATTTGTTATTTAATCACTTGTAAATTTTAGTGGTTTTTTTAAGGTAACAAAATTGATGAATTTCAATTTAGTAGCTCTTTCTAATTTTCTGTGAGGTGATTTAGGAGGACTTCTAAATTGAGAACGATTATCTTGATCTTCAGATAAGATCTCTTCTTCCTCACATAATAAATCATCTGGTATCTTCATTGAACTGAGAGGTGAACTTATATTAACTAGTCGTTATTCTGTCTTTGTGTGGTCAAAGTTGATTTATCTGGCAGGAGATATAACAAATATATTTGCCTTTTTAGTTGTCTAATGATTTAATGGAGAATAAGGTTAAAATCTAAAATTTATAATGGATAGTAAATACTGATTAGGAGATTTCAAATATGGAGTGAATTCTAATTTCTTACATACTTATTCAGGGGACTAGTCTTTTATATACATGTCATCTTGGTGTTATAGACAATCAGCATTAAAAACAGGAGATTGATGTATATTTTCTAATCTTTAAAACAATTTAGTAAATGGAGTTCCATCTTATTTAAAATCTGAGCTCATTCGTAATATGAATTTTTCCCTCTGAATTTAAATTCAAATTTTATATATATAAAATGACAAAATTTATATCCAGCATTTAGAGAAAGATACAAATTAGAAGGACTTTTAAAAATGTACTTAAGAATGAATTTCTTTAATATTTACATAGTAGTAAATTTTTGAATCTATTTTTGATTAACTTATAGAAGAACTCTGTTATTAATTTCAATATATAAGAGCTTTTTATAAGATTATTAATTATTTTATGTAAATTCTCTAGCACATAAATAAAATTTAATAAATTTAGTTAGAGTTTTAGACTTTATTTCTTGAGAGTAGGCATTCAAATATCCAAAATTAGAATTAGGTATTATGAGAATAAGTTAAGTAATAAACGATAGTGAGATTTAGTATAATTCATGAATATAAATGGTTTTTTTTATTTAGTTATGAAATAAATTTATTTTAAAAAATTTAAATAACGGAAGATATGGGTCATCTTTTTAGACATTAAGAAGGAGAGGCAGGTAATTATGTATTTGAATATGCAGCAGCGCCTGTGGTAGCCAATATTCCAGCACCTTAAGCATCAACTATTGATTATGATTGGGTTCTTATTTCAGGGTTCATTATCGTGTTGACATAAGTGGGATTTGCATTTATTGAAGCAGGATCAGTGAGATATAAGAATTCATAATCAATAGTCATAAAAGTGATATTGGGTTTATTCTTGACAATTTTAATATGGTGGTTGGTAATAAATGAAGTTAATAAATATAGTTTGGATATGGATTCTCATTTGGATATGATTTCTAAACAAACTTTATGGGAGGTACAAAATTAGGAGGTTCAAATTGGGAAGCAAATCAATACGGAAATGATTATACAAATTTTGGTATTTCTGTTAATATTCAAATTTTGTATAGTATTCAGAGCATCAGGTGCAGCAATTGCAGTATCAGTGTTATCTGGAGCAGCAGCAGAAAGAATGACATTCTTAGCATGGTCTATATTAGCTATAGTATATGCAGGATTCATATATGCTGGATTAGCACATTGGACATTAGCATAAGGATGGTATTGATTAAATGAGAAAATAAATAGGTTAACAACTTTGGGATATAAAGATTTCTCAGGAGCTGGTGTTGTATTTTTCGCTGCAGGTGTTGCTGGATTAGTTGTTACAGTATTATTGAAACCAAGAAGATTCAGATTTGATCCAAATACAACCTTATAATTCTAAAGACATTCTCCAATTTATATTGCTTTTGGATCAATTTTAGTCTTTGCTGGATGGTTATTCTATAATGGAGGTATTGTAGCATAAGGAGCTAATTCTAAATACACATAAGGATTAGTTGCTGTCAATACTTTGATTGCTGGAGCTACTGGTGGATTCTTCGCTTTTATCATTAGATTTTTCTAATATGAAACTACAAGTTTAGTTGCCTTATCTAGAGGTATAATTAGTGCTTTAGTGGCTGTAAGTGCTGCTACTGATGATATGAAACCATGGACTGCATTCATTTATGGTCTATTGGCAGCTGTCTTTTATAGTGTTTTGGCAAAAGTCATTCCAAAAGTACATATTGATGATCCTGTTGAAGTTGTACCTGTGTTTTTGGTATTATATATTATTTATTTTAGGGTAATGGATTTTTGGGAATCTTCTTATCAGCCTTCTTTGATACTAAAGCAGGTGTTTTCTATGGATTTGGTGCTAAATTATTAGGAATGTAATTGTTGGGATTATTGATAATATTTGTATGGGTTGCCTTCTTTGTTTTGATTACATTACTTGTTTTAAAGGGATTTGGAGTACTTAGAATAGATGCTGATACTGAAAGTGTTGGTATTGATAAAGCTCATTGTAATTAAATTAAATTAATTATTAGGTTTGGGTGAGGCCATTGTTTTTGCTAACTAAATTGATGAAGTTCCTCTTGTATAAAAAACAGAAATGGTTCAATTAGGAAATAGTCAAATTGGATCAGGATTTAGACCTGGTTTTAGATGATATGTTAAAATAATATATATATGAACAATTTTTAATAAAACCAGTTTACTTTATATAGTTTTAAATATCTTGTGTAGGTTTGTTAGAGAGTAATTATAATTCTATTGTATCAATTATAGGAAGGATAGAGTATAAAATATTAATTTATAAAGAAATAAGTTGATTTAAGCATTTCTTAAATTTAAAAATTCTTATAATGATTGATGCTTTCTAAGGGCACTCAAATAAGGATTAAATCTTATATGATTATTAAAGTATTTTTGATGAATATGAGTTTAATTTTAATGAGAATAGTTTATGAACTATATGAATAAGAAAATAAAAACCAAATGATTTTTAAAGATAATAGATTAGATCTAGAAAAATGAAATAAAATAGTGATTAATCTTATATATGTTATATTAATGATCTTTTAGTCAGTTAAATGTAACATATCATTATGAGAACTCTAGTTCTAACTGGAAAAATAAGTTTTAAAAAAAGTTTTATTTTTTTCATTATTTCATTATTTCTATACTCATCCATTCAACATATTCTATATCAAATTAGATTTGTAAAGTCTATGTTAATTTAAAAATCCTAATTAACCATTTTCTGTTTATAAAGCTGAGAAATTAATTTAATTAAATAAATATATTAATATTTTTACTCCCCAAAAATTATGCAAAACATTTTAACTCAATAATCACAGTTTTTTGAATTGCTTGACAAATAAGTTGATGCTTATAAGACTCTTCTTGATCAACTCAATACAAGTTAAGATAAATTTAATAATCTTCTTACAGATTATTTGCTTAAATTTCAATAAATTAATAATAAACTCCTTTAATAAGGAAGACCTGAATTCTCTTGCTCATAAATCTAAATTAAACGAAATGACGAATTATTCACTAACTCATAATTAAACATATCATTCAATCTAAGATCTGTAACTTTATTTTTATTATTTTAGTTACTGGAGAAGTCATACAAATATAAGTTAACTCTTGCTGATCCTCTTGAAACTCCACTTTATAGAGATCGTATCTTTTAATTAAGAGTGGAGCTAAAAAATAAGAATGGAGAGTTAGTCCGAAATCCTAATAAAATAGAATTGGTTGTTGCAATATACTCCTAAGAATAATATCCAAAAGAAATTAAAGTCAATAACAAAGGTGAATAGATATTAAAAGGTCATCTATGTGTACCATTAATAAAAGGCACAGCTTTCTTTACTAGAGTTTAAATTAGAGAAGTATCTTCACACTATTAAAATGGAGGAATTATTCTTGCAATATTACCTCAATTTAAACCAAATGATGAACCTATCAATAGTCGTGATATTTAGCCTATGATAGTTGAAAACATCAAAGTTAAAGCTAAAAAGTTTTCAGAACGTCACATTCCAGTCTATGTTAATTAATGATTCATAAAATGTTTAGAAAAAGGATATTTCAATTATATTTTCAATCTATTTTCTTACTGAATATCATATATATTTTAGAATATTAAATATAAATTATGAAATTTGATAATTTCTTTTAGGCATTCTTTTTATAAGCATAAATATTAATAGCAAATCACTTTTTGATTATAAGTATACTAATATAACTAATCTATCTAAGTATTATTAATAATGTTTTTATAATTTATCGACTTATTAGATTGGCATCTCTCTTTTTAATTCATAATTAAACAAATATTTACATATTTAAAATCTTTCAAAGATGTATTATTTTTGATTAGCACATTTTAATTCTACATTTACTTATCTTATTTTTGCTAGTTCTAATGTATAAAATTTAAATGAAGCTATATAAATCAAAGATTTTACACTAGATAGAATAAAAAAACTATTTATTGAATGCAAAATAATTTAATACTATTAAAAATAATATGAAGACAGATATTAGTTATTGATTCATTTGCATTCAAACATAAGTTATTAGAATAAAATGGATTCAGTTAAATTTCTAGAATTTATAATCTAAAATTTTATTTAACTGATCAAATTTTAGCTAAATATAATTTTATGAAATCATTTTTATTTGATTAAGTATTCAGGTATAAATCCTATTTCAGAATCAATTAAATAATGTCCAGGACCTGGAGACTCAAAAAGTTATTTTTAAATTTTATCTCTATTATTTTTTTATTTTGTAAATGAAACACCTGTTTTCATTAAAGAACGATCAATATCATATTATCCAGGACCAATAACATCAGTTCGTTCATCTTAAAATCTTTTTGATTTACTCCATCTATTTATATTGACTAATTTATCATCAAATGATTAATCTATATCATATTATCCAGGTCCAGGAGTTGTACAAATTCTTTTTGATCTATACAATTTTCCCATAACTCCTCCTTATGTTTGTAAAGTTGACAATTTACTATCATAAGCCCCAGGACCTGGAATTTTATTAGAATAATCATATAATTTTGGGGATTTTTAAAATTTTGTACCTTTACTTTTATTTATTTAAGAATATTAATTATATGTTCCAGGACCTGGACTTTCTTCTTTAATTTAACCAAAAATAGTCTATCTCAATATAGAATTAAATTTAATTGTTCCACTTCCTTTAAGTTTATCTTAAACATCATAAGTGCCTGGTCCTGGATAATTTGAAGGATCAGGTTACTTATACTTAGCTAAGAACGAAAATCCTTTAGATTCTTTTTATTCATAATGATAACTTCCAGGACCTGGAGTATCTAAATAATAAGGATCTCTTGGGGCTTTTGAGAAGGTTTGATTGGTGCTTTATTGATTAAGATCACTTTCATATTGACCAGGCCTTATGGATTGTTTAAATAAGAATACGCAGGAGTTAATGATCTTGGATAAATACTATCCTGTTTGCTGGAACTTAACATAAAACCATTCTTTTTATTAATGCTGGATTTCAAGCAATTATTATTCAAATGATATTGATTAGGTGCAGGTACTTCAGTTTCATAGGTCATTAAAAATCTATCTCCGAAACCATATTTTTTATTTGATTTTGGAGGTTCAATAGTATAACTTCCAGGTCTAAAAATAGAACAAACACTTTACCCAACGATAGAAGAAACCTTTTCTTGTTTTCTTTTTCCTTTGATTGTTATTTTTAATTTTCTATTCTATATTAAATAATATGCTCTAAATACATTTTCTTAATCCAAATCATATTTACCAACAGGAGGTGTAACATTATTAAATTATGTACGTAATGACTTTCCAAATTTCGATGCACTTGTAGATAAAGTTGATTATATTGTATATTGATGAGGACTAGGACTTTATTATTTTTATGCAAACTTTTATTATTGAGTTATCATACAATGTTCAATCTCTAACCAATTCCAAAAGATGAAGCTCCATGAAATGATTATGTAAAATTTGACATTTCTTATAATAATTAATACAAATAAATAAAAAATATTTATTTGAGTTCAATATTTCAAAGCTATATCTAAATAAACATTTTTAATTCACGTATTTTCAATAGTGATCAATTCATATATCTAAACCCTTTTTTAAAAGTAAACTCAAATAAACATATTAGATTATTATTTCAATTTAATTATATTTTTATGATGTTAGAAATTCCAATGCTCAAAAAATTGAATACTAAAATAGAACCAAATTTTGATTGCAGTAGTTCTAAACTCTATGACAAAGGAGAAAACATCTATATTCCATTAGATGGGAAACTCACAACAGATTAATTTGTATTTCTACCAAATTAAGCATTTACATAAATGGGTCTCTGTTAGTAAATTCTCTATGCATTAAAAAAAGAAAGCTTTAATCATAGAGTATTAATTATTAAAGTGAATAATATATGGCCACATCTAGATTATGAAATTAAGGAAGATCTCAAATATTTACAACTGATAACTTAAAACAAACTCTTAAACAAATACTCTACACTACCAACATTTCTATTTTAATATTTAGATAGGATTATAGTTATTCATAAATAGGTTGTAAATATAGAGAATACAATTGTGTTTATAGCTGATGGTATCATGTTTCAGAATGGAAGACAAGTGATACATCATTTTGAAGGGGAGGCAGTTGCAATTACTGAATGTAGATTATATGGCTTAAAAAAATCAAGTATATAGAATATGAATATAAGGATATTCAAAATTTGACTTTATTTGGTGAGTGTGATGTCAAATTAACTCTACATAATCAAGAACTAATGTTGAAATCAGCAGTCCTATAATTTGATTCTCCTAAATATGCTTAACAAAGTGTTATCAAGGATATTAAAACTATCAAAGAGTTAATAAAAGGAGAAGATTATTTGTAATTAAGATAAAAATTAAATGAAGTATTTGGTAAGAAAATAAGTGATCAATAATAATAAATTACTATCTAATAGATTTAATAATAATAACAATAATTCTAATAGAATAGTGTAAGATAGAGAACATCTAGTAATCAAGATGATGTTAATTAACTAAAAAAATAAATCTTTCGTAGAATTTATGTTGCAAGAGAAATAGACAAAACTTAAAAAGAATAACCTTCACTTGGAGAAATCAAAAAAATTAATTATACTCCTTTGCGTAATAGATAATCTCGTGTGAAGATGAACAGTTCTAATATTAGATAAAAGACTATAGAAAATTAATCACAAAATTAGTAATCTTCTGTTTAATAATAATGTTTACCTATTATTAAAAGTTTTGTTAATATGGAAGAATATCAATAACAATAATAGTAAATGAAGAAAAAGAAAGATCAATATAGAAAAAAACATATTTAAAATAAGTTTATTGAATTTGATAAAATTTTGAATTAGTTAATAAAATGAATTTTTTAATTCATATTATCAACAATATCTTAATTCATTTATATAAATCATTACTAATCAGATATTGGATAAAAATAAAACAGAAAAATATAAGAAAATAATAGAATTTCTTTGTAATTAAACTATAAATTTTTAATGGTTTCTTATATTATAATTTATTAATTATAATTATTAATTTAATATTATTATTTTATATAAATAATGGGATATTGTGGAAGCAAATTATCTAGAAAAGATAAATAAACCAATAAAAATAATATCAATGATTCACAATTTTAATAATATCAAATATAAAATGTAATCTTTTATTTTTAAATTAGATATTGTCATAATCATCAAACCTTAATTACTCAACGTAAGAACAAATATTATAGAAGAAAAGAGATTATAAAAAAAGTGAATTAATTGGAAAAGGATCCTTATTTGAAGTTTATCAAGCTCTTGATAATAAAACAGGTAAAATAATGGCTATTAAAACTGTTAAGATATAAGGGACAAAAGAATAAGTATATTACAATATCATTAATAATTAATTAGAAATATCTATTGATTGATTAATTAAAGGCTGAAATAAAATTATTGAAACGACTGAAGCATAAAAATATAATCAAGTATTATTTTACAGAAATAAGTCCTGATTTTACTTAATTAGATATTGCTTTAGAATATATATCATAAGGTTCTTTAAAAAGGGTTTTGAGTAAAATTGATCTAGAAGAATCTAATATTAGAATATATAGTAAATAGATTTTAGAAGGCATTCAATATCTTCATAAAAAAAATATTATACATCGCAACATTAAGACTTCTACTATTTTAGTTGATAGTGAAGGCACAATTAAATTATCTAATTTTAAAAATTTTATTTAAATTGATCAAGAGTTTGATATTAATGAAAAATAAAAGTCATTTGCAATAGATATATTATCTTTAGGGGCTGTAATAATAGAGATGTTTGGTGGTTATATACTTAATTTTGATGAATTGATTAAGAATATATCAGAAGTTCAAAAACCTCCATATCCATCATAAGCAAGTGCACTATCTAAAAATTTATTAGACATTATTTTTGTACCAGATCATTAATAATATTCAACTGATAAATTATTATAGCATCCATTTTTTAATTTTGAGTAAGAAAAAAAAGAATTTTAATTAGATGATCCTAATTCTGATCAGTCTTTAATTGGATCTAGCTTTGAAGTGAAAAAACCTTTTATATAAGATATTAATTAGGATCAATCAATTTAAAAATGTAACATACTTTAAAATAATAAATAAAGGTATATTTTATTTATAAATTAGACAGCAAGAACTAGAATAAGCATTATAAAGTTTATTAAGGAAAAAAAACTTACAAAATTGATATCAATTATATTTTTTCAATTTAAATCACTATAAGGATTAGTTATTTATTATATTAAATAAAATAAAAATGCAAAATAATTAATAAGCAGCTACAGAGGAATAATCAAAAAATTAAGAAGTAAAATAAGAAACAAAATTGTGTCCATTATGTTAAAATTTCTTTGGAAGTGCCAAAACTAATTTTTATTGTTCTAAATGCTATAAGTATATTCGTTGAATATTATAGAACTATTTAATAAAACGATAATGAACAATAACAATAACAACAATAATAATAATAAGTACCAGAAGAGAAATTATAATAAAATTAATAAGTAAATGTTCAGGTATATAAATAATTTAAATTTATCAGCAAGATCCTTCAAAATGTTATGTATGCAAGAGAAAGCTAGGAATATCAGGCATTTAATGTAAATGCAAAATAGTCTTTTGTAATAAACATAGATTGCCAGAAGATCATAATTGTACTTTTGATCATGCAGAATAAGCAAAACAATTACTTATTAAAAACAATCCATTAGTTGATCATAAAAAGCTTGAATAATTATGAAATTTATAATCATAAATTATTTTTAACAATATTCATCTAATAAAATTAAATTTTTAAGTAATTTATCTGCTTTTTGTAATTGTTTCTTCAAACATTTAATCAAGATCCTTTTATCTAATTTAAAATACACTTTATTTTCTTTATAATTATTCATTTCTAAATATATTTTCTTAACCTTCTTATTAAAAATCTAATTTAATTAGTTTAGTTAATTCATTTTAAATCAACTAATTCTAATTTTACTCTTCATATCTTCTAGTTGTTCTACTAGTAGTATTTTTTTAACTGCTTTTTCTATCCTTTGATCTTGCTCTTATTTATTCTAAAACATCAATTTGAAGAGATGATCTGTCTATACATTCTTATATTGCTTTATCAATTTTATTAGTTGCTTAAATATTATTTTTATTTTGTTAAGTATTTGACAATTACATATTCTAAATATCCATTGGTGTACGCACTATCATTTTATGAACTTAAAATTAATTTATCATCAACTGATAATTTATTATTTAATCATAAAAATAATTCTGAATTCTTTTATAACAATAAGATTATTTTAAATAAAATGAGCATCTTAACATATTCTAAAATATATATGTTTAAAATAATAATCATTCAATATCTAATGTTTCCGAAATTTTTTGATAAATAATATGATCATAAAGAGATTATCTAGTTTATTGGTAGTACGCTTGCATCAGATGCAATTGTAACTGGTTCGATTCTTGAGTAAGCCCACTTTTTTATTTACAACAATGATCTGTTTCAAATTATTACTGTTAAATTTATAGTTAACAAGAATATTGATAAGTGTTTACTTTAAGTTTTTGAATATAGTATATAAACATAAAATTAATCATTATAAATTTAATAGAATTTAGATCAAAAATGAGCCTCTGAACTATCTAAATGATTTAATGAATCTTCTGCTAGTTCTTAATTTATTAACTTTTCCATTATTTAAAATCTAAGAATTCTACCTTTTGACTTTCTGTAATAGCATGCAAAGATTCCAAGAGATATACAGCAAAATAAATTTACCCAGAAAGATGATCCAAAATGAGCTAAATTAATTTAAACATAAAACTTTCAATTTCTCTTAAACTTGTAAGCAAAATTGTTGTAAAGAAGTATACAAGTAAAGAAACAAATTAGCCTACAATTATTAGTGAATAAACTATAACTCCTTTAAGTCTAGATTAATATTTTTATTATTATTCAAATGCTTTCAATAAGTGTTTTAGTCTAATAATGTCATAACTCAAAAATATTAAAGAGACCATAATACAACAAAAGCAAAAGATTCCTGTAACTATATTTATATTTATATACCTATAGCTTCTAATAATCTTAATTCATAGAGACAATCATTTTAAGATAAATCTTTTATATAAAGGCAAAAATTATATTCTGAGTTCTCATATGTACTATAACTCATATATTTTTCAACTTATTTATCGTAAACATATAGTAGATTCAGCCAAATCCTTGTCTTAGTATTTGGAAGTACTATCAAAAACCATTAATAAAATGCCATCGCAAAACTTCATTAAATTGCAATTATACGTTGTTCCTATAAGGCAAATAAAATTTAGGATCATCACTAGTTAAAGATTATTTTTAATTGTTTTATATCTCATTGCTGATTACATGAGTACAATCTCTTAATCATTTCTTCTAGATGATTTAGTTAGATCTATTTCTTCTGATAGCAAAGAATTATTGATCATTTTTATAATTCAGAAATATAGAATAATAAAATGATGCAATTTATTGCGTTAATATAAAAATAATTCCAATAATAGTTAAATATCATATTTTTAAAAATAAATCAAAGAATTATAAAGTCTAATGTTCTGTCTATATCTAAGTTCTTTTATAAAAAATAAATAAATAATGGGACTGACATAAACATATATCAAAGAAAAATATACAACTTCCAAATTTAATAAATTGTTCTGATTATAATTAGAAGAAAAACCATAAGGAAAAACACATCATAAATAGCATAATTTAATCTATCCATTATAGTATATAGATGAAATTCAAGAATAATTTTTCGAATTTGATATTATAAGAAACTAACATTAGTTTTAGCATTAAAAAATTTCAAATTTTATACTATTAGTGTTAATTGCTAATTTCTCATAATCGATCCAGGTCTAAATTTGTCTTACAATACAAATAATCCAAAATCTAAATAATTATAAACATTATATAATTCATCTTTTTAAGACACAAACAACGACAAGGACAATCAAATCATTCAAAGAAAATACTAGATTTAGGAATTTCAATTTAAGAGGAATGGTGAAACATGAAAAGATAGAATAGATAAATTTGCAAGAAGGTTGAGTAATCTTATAGAACATTGATCTTTAATAATGAATCTTCTATATCATAAAGTAAAGATTCAGAGAACTAATACAAAATAAAGTACCTTGAAAATAAATCGCAAATAATAGTTTATTAACAATAAAGGGGTATAAGTCTTAAATAGTAATAAATGAAAATAAATTTCAAAAATACTTAATCACAAATTACCTCGATTGATAATATCAATAGAATTAAATCCATTTTTAAATATCAATTACTATTAATACATAAATTTCATTTATATGGATATCATAATCTTATATCCTTAAGATTTCTAAAACTTCAAAATTAGTTGAATAAGGATTATCAAACATATTTATATTTATGATTATTTATTAAATTAATGTAGAGAATATTACCTTATGCATTTCATGGTTTAGATTATTTATATGAGCCTCAATTGGCAAGATTTTATAATCTAATTCCTGCATTTTATACCTAAAAACTAGGAGAAGGATTTTTGAATCAAACATCTTAAGTTTATACATCACTATTATAATCTATTGCAGAATAAGACAAAGAGTATTTGAAATAAATTCTAGAGCCTAAGTTATTTCAAGCCACTTAACATTGCATGGATTTACTAGAAGAGAAACAATTAAAATTATAATATATTGAATAAGATTAATAAGAAAATGAAGATAAGTAAGAAGAGGAAGAAGAAGGCTAATAACCATAATAATAGTTTAGTTTTTTCTCAAAAAAACTTTAAAAAGATTAGTAATTATTTTCTTATTTACATTAGAGGCAATAATGAGGCATATCATATTTATTCAGAAAACGATTATAAATGTAATATTGATGTTAAAGGAATATTTGGTGTGAAAATTAACAGAATTGAAAATGAAAATACTCGATATTTTTAGATTCCTGCTTTGCCTATCACTCCAAGGTATCTATAAATATACTAAAAAGGAATTATTTTATAAATTTGAAAAATCCTTTTAGTCTTTATGAAAATTAAATTTTAGTTGCCAATATTTTAATACATACTAGCAAGAAATTAATTGCTGTAGATTAGGAAGGAAAAGTGGTTCATGGTAATTATGATAATAATTAATTTTAATATCATAAATTAAGATTAGAAACTTATATACCAAATTTCAATTGGGTAATTACTGATATTGATGATTATCTCAAAGGAAATCCTTATTTTTGAGATTATATTTTAAATACAATTGTTATTTGATTATTTTATTATATATAAAATATTGTTATATTTTAATATAATTTTCTATTCCTTTATTTATGAAAATTATTTTTCATATTTTTGTAATTTAAAGTAAAATTATATTAATAAACTTGTTAGTTTGTTTAGATATCAAAATATGTCTTATGATTTCAAAATATTTCAATATTCCTTATAACTTAAAAAATAATCTAATTTTTGTATTATCAAATGGATGTAATGAAATAAATATTCATTTATTAAAGAAAAGAATTACTGCTTAAAAATTGGTTAAGGATTAGACTAAATTCTTTTAATTTTATATAATAAGATTTCAAAAATTTGACTGAAATCCTTTTTTTTGTTTAAATTAGCTAGAATTTTAAGATTCAGCTTTTTAGGATAAAATAGAAGTATTTTTTAAAGCTTACCAAAATTATTTTAATTATTTTACAATAAATAATGAATGAAATAAAATCAAATGAATATTTGTTAACAAGTAGAAAAGAAAAAGAATGGTTGAATATAAAATAATTAAAGTTTTTAAATGACACAGCTGTAACCAGCGATGATTCAGATGATGAATTTAAAACCAATCAAGAAATTGAAATTTTTGTAAAATAAAAGAAGAAATTTTAATGGGAATATAGAAGCTTAACTATTTTGAGTTAAAAATCAAATAAATTCTACTCCCGAGCAATATCTCTCAAGATTAATCATTACATGATATAAATTAACAATTTGTTAAAAAAAATAAAGAAACATATAACTCCTCTTCCTCCTTATGTAATAACACCTGATGGATCAATAAAAATGATATGGGATTTATTATGTTTAGTATTTGTAATTTATGAAATGATTAGTATTCCTTTTTAAATAAGTTTTGAAATAGAAATTAATAAGGAAATATCAGTAACCTCTTTAGGAGTGTTTACTTTAGATATTCTCTTAAATTTTAACACAGGTGTCTATTTGGATGGTATATTATCAATGAAAAGATAGAAAATTGCAAAAAGTTACTTATCATTTTGGTTTTGGATTGATTTAATTTCAACTTTCCCATACGACATAATTATCAATGAATCTGAATCATTAATATAAAGTCCAAAATTACTAAGATTATTTAAATTTTTAAAATTTATTCATATTTTAAAACTCTTAAGATTGGCCAAATTAAAAAAATTTTTTGATCAATTAGATGAGTACATATAAAATATTAGGATAATAGGAGTAGTATTAACCTTTTTTAAACTATTTGTTTTGATTTTGTTTTTAGCCCATGTTTTGGGATGTATCTTTCATTACACTTCATAAGAAGAAACAGGTTCTTGGCTTGGAGATAATGAGGATGCTGATTGGTAAATAAGATATATTTATTCCTTATATTGGGGTATTGCTACAATGACAACAGTTGGATATGGAGACATTAGTCCAATAACCCCAACAGAAAGAGGATTAGGACTTTTTTTTTTGTTAGTTGCATGTGGAGGATTTGCATTTACAATGAATTCTATTGGGTTTGCTCTATCTACTCTTGAAGAACGAAAAAATAATCGAAAATCAAAAGTTAACAATCTAAATAAATATATGAAACAAGCAAATATTTCTGATGGATTATAAAATAAGGTTAGAAAATATTTAGAATATGTATGGGATAGTGATTAAATTTTATTAAATGACATCACCAGTTTACTTTCTTGTGAATTAACTAAAAACATATTAGAATAAGTAAATGGTAATTTATTTGGACATATCCATATCTTTTGGCATTTTCATACAAAAACATTTTTGATTGAGGGAATTATTCCAATTTTAGAGGATAAATTATATTTACCAGAGGAAGTCATATTTAATGAAATTCCTCTAACAAATTATGATTTATTCTTAATTTAAAAAGGAGATGTTACTATATATTTTATGAAAACTAATATTGTAATTGATAATAAGGTTAAGTATGATTACTTTGGGGAAATCAGTTTCTTTACTAATCAAGTAAGATCAGCTAGTGCTAAAAGTAAATAATTTTCTCATATTTTCGTATTAAATTAAAAGAAATACTTACAAATTGCAAAGCTTTATCCAAGAGACTTATAATAATATTTTAATGTAAGAAATTCTATTTTGTTTGACAAAGATTATAGTTTATTATAAGTAAGATGTCATGTTTGCTAAATGGATGATCATCTTGCTAAAGAATGTCCAGTATTACATTTTCAAGTGTAATTATTCTAACTATAATAGTAATGCTCCTCATTTTTTATCATTTTTACATTAATATTAGAGAGTATATTAGGCATCGTATATTAGGAAAGATAGAATCGATTATAATGCGAGATCCTCTTTATACTAAATCCAATAATCTTAAAGAAGATTCTTGTAAATAAATTCAAGGAGATAAACATTTATTAATTATAAAGGACCTACTAATACATTTTTCATAAATTATTACGATGTTGATTATGAAGAATTATACAAAAATGACAATCCACCATCTAAGATAATATCATCTCTTTAAAACTCATTTTTTAATAATAAAAATAAAAAAAAATTTGATTTGTTAGATTAAGATTATGATATTGATTATTCTTCTTTTAGTTCAAAAGGGTCACCAGGATAACTCACTAAAAAAATGATGATTGAAGAAGAATATATAGATCAAGTAGCATCTGATAGATTTAACACCCTTATAGATTAAATTAATAGTATAAAATAGAAAAAACGATCTTTTTCACATATTCATTTTACACTATTTCCTGAGTTTGAGAAAATATAAATATACAGTGACTTTTGTTAGCAATATAATGTTGACAATGTATTAAAAAGATATAAGATAGCATAGAAAAAAGGGTTAATGTCTTAAATACCTCCTAAATATACTTTATTTGGTTTAGAAGAGTTTATATCATATTAGTAATATTATTGTTTTTATTTGAATAAAAGTGATTTATATAGATATTATACAAAATCTCATTAAAAAAAAGGGGATATTTATTATGGATGCGAGAATTCGAGAATATTTAATTTAACAAGAGTAGAAAAGAAGAGAAGTAAATATATAAAAGTTGATTAAGTAATATTTAATTTTATAATTAGTTAAGGAAGCAAGATTTTATAAAATTATGTTCAATAAATGTTTGAAGAAAATTTTTGATTGTAAAGAGTCTTGTATAAATTTGTTAATACTATAAAGAATATAGAAAATAAATTATTCTTTTGATTTTGAATTCATTTAAATTCTCCTAAATTTCTTATTTACCAAAAATTGTTGTTGTATTTAAACTAAGAACAAGAGATATAAATAATAAGAAGGTCATATTGAAATTAAATGAATAAAGCACGAAAATGTTAATTTTTTTAATCATTCATCCTACTCAAGCTAATATTTTTCATCAAAATAAAATAAAAAGTTTTTCTCCTTTCTATTGATTTTTTCTTATTCATTTGATCCATCTGAATAAATAGAAGGATCTTTTTGATGAATTTTATCAATTTAATTGAATTAATTTTCTTCTTCTGATTCTTCACTTAAAGACTCATCATCACTTGATTCAACTTTTTTAGCTTTTTATTTTTTTGGTTATTCTATTTTTTATTTTTAACCTTTCTATTGTTTTTGAATTTAAACATTTTTTTTGTTTTCTTTTTTATTATCTTCTTCTTCACTTTCATCATCATCATCATCACTATCATCATCATCATCATTATCATTATCTTCCCATAATTATTCATCTTCTTCATCTATATAATCTTTTTTGTATTGAACAATCATCTATTCTCCTGTTTCACAATCAATAAATTTTTTATTATGTTTATCCCATGTTATTTCACCTATAAATATTTAAAGAATTTTTACCTTTTTCAATTTTTCTAAGAACAGTTCTTTTTGATCTCTCTCTTAAACATTTAAGTGTTTCATCCATTTCTTCACCACTTGAACTATCATCATTTATTTCAATAGGTTCTGTGCATTTTGAACATTGTTTTAATTCATCAGAACATGCATCACATAATCTTCTATATGCCTTAAAGATATTCTTCTTTTCACATTTATAACATCTTGATAAATCATGAGGAGTCTTATATTTGCCATATTTTATTTTCCATTCAATCTAAGCTAAACACAATTCACATAATCTAATTTAATGTTATAAGTATACCTATCTAAAGAGGCATTCTAAACCTTCTCTGTGTAATGGTCATGAAATCTCATTTTGAATGCAATTTTGTTTTAATATTTTGGTGCTCCCTTTTTCATTAATTAAATTGTTTATTTTTATGAATACTAAAATTGAAATCCCATAATTTATGAAAGATTAGTTACGCAAGTAAACTATTAGTCCTGAACCAGAAAAATAAAAATCATAAAATTTTCATAGAAGATTTACAAGTTCATAGATTGAAAGTGCAGGAAAAAATCAATAATCCTAAAAGAGTTTAACTAATAAAATTTAAAGTATGACACTTTGATCAATTGTAGTGCATGGTTTATAATAATTGCTTAAGATGGGCCCACATAATAAAGTACTTCAATCTAAAGTTTACTCATAGATGCTTATACATGAGAGCTTTTCTTAATAATATTTAAAAGACTTGAGTGCAGCTTATACTCCAAATCAATAAGTAACCATCTAATAGAACTTTTTTAAAAAAGCAACACTATCTTAAAACTCAACAATGTCAGGTAGCATAAAACCTAGAATGAGAAGTGCAAATAAAGAAACAATTAAAAAGAGATCACAAATTGAAACTACATAATTACTGTCAAACAGAGAAAAGGATAGATAAACCATTACCTAATTGTAAGAAATTCTTTAAAGAACAAATTCGTTGTTACAGCAATATCAAAATGAAATATCTAGACATATTAAAGAAAAAGAGGATTTAGTTAATATCATCCAATAGTTGCAAAAACTCTGAATTTTTTCAATATGGTTTTAATCACTTGTGTTTTAACGTTAAATTTAAATTTGACTTCTTTATTCTTATAAATTATTACTTTCAATTCAAAGTTCTTTAAAATTAACATTGTTTATTTTGAATCGAGTTTATAAAAAAATTAAATATTATAATTCATCAACAATCATGTCTAAAGAATTTATGAAATTTTGTTTATATTTAAATATAAGAGTAGAAGAATTTGAATAATATTTAAAAAATATTAAATTTTATTTAAGTAATTCTTAAAGGTGCTTTAGCTTATTCGAATTTATATATATTATTTATTCTTGAAAAAAGATTAAATATAGTATAAGTATATTTCCAAAAAAGATCAATATGGTAAAATATCTCTAGAAAAAATATGAAATTAAAAATTAAATTATGTAATTATAGATTTCAATCCATATTGAATTTGAAACTCATATCATGGCAGTATGATAAGATAAATTCAAACAAAAAGAAATTTAAATATATAAAAATTTCAGATTTTATTTCATCTACAAGCCCCTTAGAATAAGATAATTCAAATCGAATTAATTTTATCGATAAGGAATAAAGTTTTGGATAGTGAACTAAGCTAAAAACCAAGAGATTGTTTTATTTAAATTAAAATTTTTTTACTTTCAAATTAAATTTGCTTATAATCTTCAAATTGCTTTTTCATGCTTCCGAAAATAAAGATTCTACATGATCAAATTTGATTTTTTGCTGTAGAAAAAAAGTCTTATTCAAAATGATCAATATAATATTTCCCTTTTTTGTGAAAGCATATATAGATCTTCATGTTATTTTTTAATAAAGTCTTATATATTATTCAGTTATTTTTTTTATCATAAATTATTTACAATTAGATCCTTTAATTTTTTAATGAGTTTTAAGACCTCTTACTTTTATAGAAATCAAGTTTTTTATAATAATTGGACCTAAAATTTCATTTTTTTTTCATTCGATTTTTTATTACATTATCTTAATAGTATTTTAATTAATATAAATTATTAGATGTGCTCAAATTGTAAATAATTGTTCGAACATTGTGGTCATATTTGAAATTTAATTTAAATTATTGTATCATTTCATTTTAAATTTAATGTAATTACTCTTCTTTTTGAATCTCATTGGATTTTTAATTAGAATCAAAATCACATATTTATTTTAATGCTAAAGTCTTGTATAATTTTACTATTTATTTCTCCTACAATAATCAGTCGTTCAATTAAACTATCACCAAAACAAGCAAACTTCTTTTTTTTCCAAAATGTCTAGTTGAAATTCAATTAAATTGGTTTACAAAAATGAGTAATAAAAATAACATTTGTATTTAATTATAAATTAATTTAATTCTATAGTGAAATATACTTAATTTTTAAATAAAAGGGGAACACTAAATAAAATAAAATGATTTAACATAAAAATACCTCATTCTTCAATATGAAATTCTAATAAATCATCTAATCTTAATTTTTTTATGTTATATTCTCGAAGGTCTTGAAAATGAGTTGCTTCTATCAAATAATCTATTAAATATTTTAATTCTTAATCATTTTAATCATTATGCCATTCAAGAATCGGAATTCCATTTTCAATTTAAAACCCAAAAGAATGAGCTAAATTGTCCACTATGAGCATATCTTTTAATTCTTTATTGCTAATTAATCTAAGATCTTTAATAAAAAAGCCATTTTTAGTTTCCATACAATTATTTCTTGTCATAATTCCTGATATGTATTACTTAGTCGGATCTAAATAATTAATAATTGCTTGAGCATATGCTTAGGATGAAGCAGTATAAATATATATTGTATAATATTAAGATAGTTATTAAAGAAATAGCGAAGTATAAGGTCGAATATTAATTCCAATCTAATTTATTTAAATTAATTTACTTTTGCTTCTTCTCCAAAATCTCCAACTGCAGTAACATAAACTTAAGGATTTTCTCTTTGTGTACACGAATGAATCAAAGTTTCATCTAAATCTAATATAAGAGCTTTATCTTTCTTAGGATAAGCTTCTGAAAGTTAAACCTTCTTAGATTAAATAAATTTATCAGAAGGGCCTTTCAAGCATTTTCTTGCATAAATTAAACCTCGTTGAGTTAGAATAAGATGTTTTTTAAATGTTTATTCAGTTACATTTGGACCGAAAATTAAATGTCTGAAAGGATGATTGCTTAATTTATCTTTTCCATTATTTTATGAATTCTTCTTACTTTACTCATTATCAGAATTAGCATTTAAATTTTACATCGAGACAGCTTATCTAAATTATAACTAATTTAATACTTAGTTTTATTTAGCTTTGGATTTTATGGTTGTTGATTTAGTTTTTATTAAATTCTTTAAGCTTATTCTTCAATGTTATAATTTCCCTCTTATTATTATATTTAAACAGGCTATTACTTTTTTTCATTATCACTAAACTCTGGTTCAATCTCAACATCTCCATCAATTTTCTTTGTATTTACTAAATTGCTGAATCTTGACATTTTTGCAGCTAATTAAGTATAATAAAACTACCTTATGGTTGTTTGGCTCTTGGCTTTTGGTTTTTAGGTGTTCCAGAATCAGAGTCATCTGTCTAATACCCATTTTATTGAGTTGGTGATTTCACTTTGCTTTTTACTATAGTCTTAGGTGTATTATCTTGAGAATTAGTACTTTCACCTTCTTCTTCACTGTAAAATTATAGTTTCTATTCTTAATTAATGACTTATTTAATGTGACCAACTTATGACTTAGCTTTAAAACTATACAATTTGTCCATTTTATAATTTTATTTTTTATATTAAAGAAACAAAATGAAATACAATAAACAAAAGTTTTAGATTCAATAAAATCATCAAATAAAATCATATTAAATATCATTAGAAAAAGTAAATATTAATTGTAATTTTAATCTCAAAGTCAAGAATAAATTCTTTAGTTTATTATTTAATAATTATAGTATTTTAAAGCAATTAAATATTATATAAAAGTTCATTTTTTTATGATTTTACTACTTTTCTTTTATGAAAGATTATATATATTTTTCTATGAAGTTGTTGATTATTTTTAGACAGTTGGACGCTATTATCTAGATGCCACAGATGGAGGAACCTTTAATTGTGATTAACTACCAACCATTGTGCCTCTCATACTCTATGGTTTGCTTTGTACAGATATTGCTTATTAAGAGTCATTAGATTCGGTTAAGTGTGGATTATAATTTGGTTCTTAATCATCATCATCAATTCTTTCAAGTGGCTATATTGGAGATCTTTAAATTTAAGGTTATTTTTCCTATTCAAATTAAGGGAATATATTTTTAGGTTCTATTTCTGGAGATTTTGGTACTACCAATGGTTATTGTGGTCTATGAGATCCTACACCAAAAGAATCTTAACGAATGGATTATCTATTTTAAAGATTTTAAAGTGTTTATTCAACTTATTGTCCTGTTAATTATTAGGTAATCACCTTATCTTGAGATAATGCCAAAGATTATCTTTATTATAATGCATAAGGAGATCTTTGATGATCATTTATACTTTCATTTATTTAATTTGAGGGATAATTATAAGTTGATGATCGAGCTTAAGATTACTATTCAATATTTTATAATTGTTTTGATTAAATTTAATTTGAATATTAATATGATTATTATTATTAAATTTATGAATAGGTTTATTATTGTAGTTATTATTATTATTATTATTATTATTATTATGGAAATTTCTTCTAATCTGTATTAATTGATTGAAATAATGATTATTATTAAAATAAGTTATTATCATACTAATTTACAATAGGTTTTTATTATAATGTTTTTAAATTTGAATTTGTTAATTCTACTTATTCAACTAAACTTTGTTTTGGTTATTCATCAATTTCTTAATGATTATATGCATATTCATCATCATTATGTATAATTTATTCATGTTCATTGTAATTTTGTTATTAATATTATTATGGATTGGTTAAATTTTTAAAAAAAGATTGTCTATTAGAAGGTGGATCCTAAATAATGATTTGATCACTCTATATATTCATTTATTTATTTTATAAAGGTAGAATTTCTTATAAAGTAATTGGTTATAAACTAGAATACTATTGTAGACTTTTAGTTGGTTCCCAATTAGGAATAGGAACTTTAAACTTTTTATTAGGTGATCTTTAGAATCTAATTTAGGCATCTTAACTTCTTTTTAAAGCTATCTTTGCCCTTTAATCAAGATTTTCAACCTAATGATATAATTAATTATTTGGATCTTAGTTTTGTAAAGTATGTTATTAATGCTCAACAACTCTTTACTTTTGATATACATTGCTCTATTCTCTAAAATCAATTGAGTAGCTTGGTATATATTCAGCAATAGTAGATGACTATTATAATCAAATAATATTACTCTAAAATAGTCTTCCAACTAAAATCTGTATTTATATAATAATTCATGTGCCTGTTTTGGATTTGGCCTATTATCAGGTGCCATTATAAGTAAAGATTCAACAATATCATATAAATCAGGGCTATATTAAGATTTTAAGAAAAATAAATAATCATCTAATTTTTCCATATTAAAAGTATAGCTTTAAATATCATAAATATCCTAAACAAAACTTAAAGTTGCCATTTACAATGCTGTTAATCCAATACAAAATACATCTGATTTATTTTAATCAATATTTGGTCTTAATACTTTCTGTTTAAGAGAAGATAATTATTCAGGACTTAAATTATATTAACCTTATTATTTAGCAATGCATCTTCTATAAGCATTCATGTCTGTCATTTCTTAGATGTCAGTTAATTTAAAAACTGAAAATGGATGATTCTAACGAAATTAACTTCTTTGAGCATATGATGTTACACTTATAGTTAAAGGTCTAATATCACCATGTTATTTCTATTGATCATTCAATCTTTATAATGCCATTAACTAATATTATATTTCATTTTATTACTGTACAATGTAACATAGCAATTATTTCTATTTCATCAAA